TAACTCTGACTGATGGGGACCCACGTGTTACAGACAAATACTACCGCTTCACAGGGTGTTCGAGCCCGTGACCTCTCACAAGCTGACCGTCAGCCTGTTTCTGAGGCACCTCTAGGGGGTTTGACCTGAACCATATGTGCCTCTCAAGGACGCTTATGGCAGGAGTATGACCCTTCGAAGCTGTGTGCTGGAAACATGAATACACAAAGTTATCTTGAACAAGGGCCCTTCTTTCTTGTACTAAGCTACTAAGAAAGATGTAGATTCCACCACCACCCCACACACACCTAATTCATCACTTAAATATTCGTGTTTTTTTTAAAGCAGAAAGATATAGGTGATGTAATACATCAAACTGAAAAACTTCCAAAAGCAAAAAAGTAGAATTGTGGCAAGCAGCAGACGAGAAGAATAGAGAGTAATATGACTTTGGACCAGCATTCACATCTCAGGAGCAGCAGGCAGGCAGGTTATGGGCGAGATGACTGACTAAATGTAGCAGACAGGCAGAAAAAGAAGGAAAAGAAACTTAAAAAGAGGCTCTAGGAAAGACTTACAGGAGGAGGAGCAGAAATGTTCCCTCAGATGCCAGGCCGGCCACACACTCCGAGCCATGTAATATTGACAGAGACCGAGATCCGGCTACAAAAGGCTCCCTAACCACACTGGGATCTCATGGAAGACCTTCATCAGAGGTGTGGCCTCTGGATTCCCACCTGGGCGGTACACCCCTCTCCAGAGCCCTCTGCAAGGCGTCACCTGCTGCTCCTCAGGGACACTTTTACCAACACACACTTAGGCCACTGGAGTGGCTCAATGTCTGTCATCTCTCCATCTCTCCATGAGGAAATCAGAAGCAGCGTCCCCTCGCCAAAAATGAAAGCTCATGAAACCACCCAACTCCTGGTGTCGTCCTTTGAAAGCAGTTTACCACACGGAAACCTCACTGACATCCTGTTGTCTGTCAGCGGGTGACTCCGATTCTATTTTGACTCGTGGTGTGCCTGTGTCCCAGAGCAGAACTATTATTGGCTTTCACACCTTTCGGAGGCGCATCACCAGGCCTATCTTTAGCCTGCTCTCAGTGGGTTAGAACCTTTTGGCTGGTAGTCAAGCTCCTATCTATCGGAGCTACCCAGGGCCTCCTGACATAATGCTATCAGTATTCATTTCCCCCCTGAATAAAAATCAGTTGTTTGGAGCAGGTTTAACTTCCCTAGGCATTGTAATGTCAGTTGATATATATCCTGTACCACTGATCTTTCTAGACAATTACTTCACACCCTTAGGTATTTCAACTGTCAAAAATTCCTGCTGCACACACAGCCCTGCCTCCCAGAGAGACACAGGCAACCCCACCCTCTGTGATCAGAGAGGACTCACAAAAGGGAGAAGGGGAGAGAGGGGAATTCTCACTTGAAGTGCTCCGGAAGGCCAAAGTTGAATAACAGAACAAAGATGAATGTCACATTACCCAATTCAGAGCAATAAAACCTTACTTAAGAAGTACGTTAAAAAAAAAAAGTTTTGGTTTTTTATTCTGTTCGTGATAAAATATTAACTGGAGGATACAGATAAAAAATATGTATATTTATTTGGTTATCTTTGTTTGATAAGCAAGACTTGTCTTAAGCTTGAGTCCCTACTGTTGAATTGCCAAGCTGCCTTTCTTTCTTGGCAACATGCTTAATATATCATTTGTTTTCCACTTCTTTCTAAAAAGAGCAAAAATCGGCAACCATTCAAGAAGTCAGTCATCTATAAGCAGTGTTCTTCTTGGCCTTTCAGAGCCCCTCCCCAATTTTCCTGGTTTGCCTGTCCTATATGTGTGTAGCAGTCATTCCTTTTAGTGACTTCCAAGGCATTAGAAATATATTCATGAAACCTTTCTTTCTGCACTCAAATTTCACGGGCTTACGTAGTATTTAAATAAACTGCATAACTATAGTAGCAATTTCAATGAATATTAACAGATACAGGAATGAATACACGATTCAAGGGTTAGGAGGCCCCCTGGTCAGGGTATACCAGGCCTGAGATGCGTGCCAAGTGACAGCAAGCATTCAGAGCATCTAGTTAGTTACGGTGGAGGTTAAGAGACTGTCCGACACACACACCAGGTTCAAAGTATTGTAATAAATATTAATTATCACAAATATCCAAAACTTAAAAGATTTCAAAACATCAATAGCAATAGAAGTGTGAACAGAGAATTGTCAGGCTGTTAATTTTTATGTCAGCAGGAAAAGAAGTCAGCGATGTGGAGGCTGGGGGGAGGTCTCATGTTCATGTTACTTCTCTCTTCCCACTAGATTCTAAGCTCCCCACATGTCAGTTCTTCCTGCCTCACAGAAGCTGGCACCCGGTGAGTGCTCCCTAAATGCTGCTGCGTATGTTCACTCAGTCAAACCAGGATCAGGATTCCAGCCACAATCACTGCTAGCCTGTAAATTCCGTTTTCTAAGGCTGAAAACAGAATGGCTTGAGTCATGTCTCTTATCTTCTACATTTTCATCTGTTTTTCTTCACACTGCACGTATGTTTTCTGATACAGATTAATTAAATGTATAAATCAGGATGCTGCCTACAATGCCATTGCTATTATGTTAATGTTAACAATATTATGTAAGCTAGTACATCTTGATAAAAAAGCACTGGTATCCACTACAGAATCAAATTAGGGTGAACGTGTTAACAAATTTGAATTTCACATCTACCTCAAAGTATGACGAGTAAGGCTTCCAATTTCTGGCACTTCTAATAAGAATAACAGAGTTCTCCTGTAACTAAATTACTTCCCTTCCCAACACATTTATAGAATTTGATAATTAAACGACACCCTAGTTTATTTCGTGGTCCCAAACCTCTCCGAATTAAGGCATCATAGCTAGAACGGTTCAGCCTTGAACATGGAGGGATGTTTATCTTTAAGTCCCACATGACAGAGAGCTGCATAGTAGGCACTTAATACTTGCTAGTTTAATTGAACTGAGTGAGACCAAAGTGGGCCCATTTCATTAACTTTCTTGTTCTTGCCAGGCTGTAGCTGTAACACCCACTGAATCCATAATTAAAGATTTGCACAAATCTTCTGCTCATTAACCAATGCTCAAAAACAAACTCAGTAGAGGAAACTTCATGATCAGTCAAATGTTCAAATCCACTTGAGAAGCTTCTTTTTAACAGTTTAAGCTTAAAACTAAAAGGCTTAAACACGAAAGTAAGCATGTAGCAAATGCGAATGCTAATTCTTTTTAAAACTTGAACAGGAAATGGAAAATCTAGCCTTCATTTATCCAAGATGCTCATGTTTTCCTTTTCTGGTACATATATATAAAATTTTAAAACAAATCCCTACAACTAAGTACTATATCCTTCTGTTTATAATTGGAATGGGCACAGGCTTAACGATAGTAAGACATGTTATTATGCTAATTATTTTCCCCTGCAGTTAACCGCCAGTGATTCCCATCTGATTTCCCAGAGCATGATAAGATAATAAAGAGAACAAAGCCTCTGGAGGTGTAACCCCCACCAAGAATTTCATTTATTTCAAAACGACAGTACTTTGCAAGTTGGCCTTATTGACTAGTCTTCCAATCACATCTCTTTTGGGGGCTTCACGATTTTTGCTGAGACACAAAGTATGCATTTCCCAATCCTGTTCCCTTGGGTTGTGCTGGAGGGAGCTCACAGGATCCCTCCCATAACAGCACAATTAGTGCTTCACTAACTCTTTTCTTTTTTTGCCCCCCCTCCAGGCAGTAATTGAAATTCCCACTTCCTCCTAAATCTCTCGGACAGCAAGTCCTGGCAATCCATCGGCGCCTTTCATCACAGCTTCTTTTCATAACTCGCGGGTCAAGTTCCTTTCCTATTTCAATCCCGTGTACTGTACACCACTTCCCTTGCCATCAGGGCCCACTGCTGAACGCGGGGATAGACAACCGACTGAACGTCACTGTCCTTCATTGTTTCCCATTAACTGCCATCTTAGCACCATGCACCACGGGATAATGCTTCTCCACCGCATCTGAGGGATTTCCAAAGCAGCTATTCTTGGTGGATTTGCACGTGTGCCTTCTCTGAATGCCCCTCATCACCACAGAAACGGCTCTGCGAGGCCCAGGTTTTCGAGGGTGCTTTTAAGCACACTAAGCAAAACAGAAGGGCGCCTGGTGGCGCGGTGGTTGAAACGCGCAGCTGGCTGACCCACAGGTCGAAGGTTTGAACCCTCCAGCCCGCTCCGCAGGAAAAGGATGTGTCAATCGGCTCGCCTAAAAATGTCCAGCCTTGAAAACCCAAACCCTACGAGGCAAGGGGAGCCCGTCCTCGGGGTCACCAGGAGTCAGACTCGACTCCAGGACGCTGGGTTAGGTTAGCTTTGGTTTGGTTTGTTGGTCTCAAAACAAAAAGAAAAACGGATTCTACGCATTTTTAAAATTTCCCCCAGCATATTGCATTTTAACCCCTGCCCTTCGTGCCGTGGAGGAATGCTGGGGGCAAGGATCTTAACTGCAGCCGTTGGCGTTCCCGACTACAATGAAGCCGTATCAAGGCACGAAGATTATCTAATAAGCGTCCTTTCTTCTCACAACGCCCCACATCCTCCCGAACGCGCCCCTCGCGGGGGCACAGCACCGAATCCCTCGGCAAATCCCCAAGCCGCCAACCGAGTGGACTCGGCCTCGGCCACAAAGGGCCGGCCTGGCCTCGTGCACGGCGGCCGCGGCACCCATGTGCGGGGCCCACCAGTGCGGAGCTGCCCTTCGTGGGGCACAAGCTCGCGGCCGCGGCCAAAGCCCGGTCTTCCCGATTCCCCGCCTGCCCGCTGACAGGACAGGCGGCGACGGCCGAGCGCGCCCGCCCCAGATGGCCACGCTGAAGCCCACTTCCCCCGGCCCACCGTCCGCGCCCCCGCCTCCGCCCGGGAAAGGCCGTGGGAACTTCCTGAGGCCCCGGGCGGCCGTGCCCGCCGCCGTGCCCGCCGGGCGCCTCACCTCCTCCTCGCTCTCGCTGCGGAAGCACAGGCACGCGGCCCGCTTCTTGTAGCCGTCGCCGTCATAGGTGCGGGTCTGGTTCGACTTGAGCTTCATCATCCTCCGGGCCCGGGCGGGGGTGCGGGGCGGG